CTGCCCAAATTGCATAATATTTTTGCGTCGAATAATGACCAATTGCACTTGCGTCAAATAGTAGCCAATCAAAAATGTGCACAGTTTACCTCGTCCCCTTCCTTCAGTGATTTTCCTCTCGCGACGTTACACTCCGACCCTATATTCCTATGTCCATGCACACTGGAAGTCGCACGATACTTACATCGCGCTTGCGCAAACTAATAGCCAATCAAATTTAGGCACACTTTACCTCGTCGCACCGTCCCGCAGTAGCTTCCCCCCTGCAACGATATGCTCGGTCCCTATATTCCTATGTCTATGCTTTTTTGCTCTTCTTATCGCGCGCGCGGCAGCCACTATGATCAGCGCCACCGAGCGTTACGAGCGGTGTTATCCGATTAATGTTAGGTTCTTCTCCCTTGATCATTAAAATTAAAAAATTTATTAAAAATATTTTTTATTTTTAAATTTATTATGTGAAAATATTTCAATAGATTTTCATGTCACCCATGAGATACTATTGCTGACGCGTTTTTTTTTGTTTAAATGGATAGTGAATTAATCGGATAGCGCTGCTCCTAACGCTCGGGGACGCTGGCCCAAGCGGTTGCGCCGCGCGCGGTAAGAAGAGCAAAGGAGGCGTGTGCCGCGTGAATCGGCTGAAAAGCTTAATTGGCAATAAGACCTAAATTTTCTAGAAGATATTGCTAGAATGTTGCTGTTATAAATTTTAGATGTGACAAACAATATTTTAGCAGATACAAAAAATAGCGATACATTTTTGTTGTGACACCTAGAAATCTACCTACATCAGCAAAATATATTTTTCAGTGATTGGAATAGAATAACACTATATGAATATTCCAAGAAATTTTTAAGAATTCCAATTATGGTGCATGTAACTTATTGAATCATTCTTATAGTATTCTTCTATAAATTTCTCAAGAATTATTATTTAGGAAAAAAGAAAACTTGAAGAATACTTTGCAAATTCACTATGCTATCTGGGCCATCATTAACCCAGTAATATAAGCCGTAATATTTTTCTAATGTTACAACAAATATTACTATCGAAATTTTTCTAAAATACAATAACACGATAACTTTGCATACAAGTGTCTGAATCTTAACAAAACTAAAAATATAATATTAATAAAACAATACAAAATAAAATATTTTACCATTCAAATCATTCATACGTAACCCAGCAAGAAATGACTTATTAATCGACGTCAAATCAATGTCTAATTGACGTCGAAATCATCGATATTACATAGTATTGATGATAGATTCGACAACAAATCGATAAGTCATTTCTTGCTGAGTAATATACAATAACTAGAATTACCATGTAATCATAATTATTATGCTAATAAAAAACTATATTCAATATAATATCCTACATAAAAATAATAAAAAATAATCACAGTTGAGAACATGGTGACATTCGACTAACACCTACATAAATAAGATTTTCTCGCAATCACATACGTGACTTCACTTCCAAAAGAGTTTTAATAATGACGAATTGTATCTACAGTCTTCTAACAAACAGATTTGTAACCGTAGCACTGAAGATGGCTGAATGATTAGCCGAAACGTTTGCTGCTTACGAAAAACATTGATTATAATAAAAGATATTAAGAACTACAATCTTCTTTAGCTTGAGATCCTCCTGCTACTCCATCGATAAAAAATAATGTTCTTAAAAAATTTCATGTATTATTTTAGTAATATATACTGCATCTGTTAATAATATTATTAATACTTTCGTAAAGCGACAGGTTTCTGCGGAAACTCATTTGTCGACGGTTATGGACAACATTATAGTCAAAATGTTAATAATTTTGGTAAGGCACAAATTTCCAGGAAAAAATAAATATCGCCCTCCAGATCAGTCATGTTATTATAAATACCACAGTAGAGCAACAGGTTCCTACAGAAATTCACTTGTCAACGGATATGAACAACCTTACAATCAAAATATTAATCGTTTTGAAAAACCACAAACTTCCAGGAAAATATATTATCGTCCATATCAGTCGTCTCAACATTCAGTCTTTTGCAATCGTTAGTGTTCAGCAGTTGAACGATTGAAATTGGAGAATTGTTGAGAGTTTGTAACTTCCGTATTCGTCGATTTCAAAATATTAACAACCCACAGATAAGTGAGATAGTGCGTGAGACATTTTATTTTAAATGTTTAAAATGCTGTATATTTCATATATTTTTTTTTTTTATAATAAAAAAATTATTTCAATAAATATACCGATAAATAAAATTTATATGCAAAGTATCAATAAATAATATATATTTAATAATATATAATAATGTTATAACGCTTTTTCAGAGGCGTGACGCAACTTGATTATATCGCTTTTTGCTCTTCATCTCATAAGCAACTGTTGCAAACAATCCATAATCATACGCAAGAATGTTTTGTGAAAATAATCTCGGCAAAGATTATTTCAACATATCTAAACACGAACTACGATTGCGTGTTTGTAACAACGAAAGAGATCTTGGCAAAAGTTTACGTAGCTTGGCTGAATATCTTATCCACGTGTATATCGGCATAAGTCAAAAGACCATGATGAATCATCCACTTGTGAATACAAGTAGAATTGAGAAATTTCAAGATTTATGTAACGAAGATATTGTAGGCAGAAATTTTCCCATCACTGACGTCATAAATGAATTTTATTCTTTTTTTAAGCTGTACCATGTAATTGTAAATAGTTCGAACACCTATTCAAATATCAGAAAGTACTATCTGCCGATTTTTATTATTCTCGGTCTTTTAGGAAACTGTTTGTCTGCTATTGTACTCTTCCGTAAAAAGATGCGTTTTTTTTCATCCAACATTTACTTGGGTGTGTTAGCAATGAGCGACATCGTCTATTTGATGATATTACTCATTAATTGGCTCCAAATAATGGATATAAAACTAATAACAAATTATTTGTATTACTTAATTTTCTTCAAGGACTTTCTGTTCTTCTTTTCCGAGTTTTTGAGTGTGTGGCTTATAGTAGCCTTTACCATCGAGAGATTTATAGTGACAAAGTATCCGCTTCTACGTCGATCCTGGTGCACTGTCAAACGAGCAAAAATTGTAGTAATCACGCTGATGGGACTAGCGATGTTACGCAGCATTCTATATACTTTTTATTTGTATAGGACCATGCTCTATAAAATGTTTAAAAAAAGCAGCAATATGTATGATGTGTACAAATATATAAAACTTGACAGACAGTATGGATTTACATACACAAAGCGTATTATAGATTCTATTATAATATTTATTTTACCTGCTGTCGCGATAGTAATCTGCAATACTTTGATAGGATACCACATTTACCAGCAAAATCGTGTTCGCAAAACCTTGATTACAACGTCCGATTCTTCTAATAAGAGGACTCAGATTTCTAGTGATAAAATGCTTCAGCATAAAATCACAAAAATGCTTATTCTTGTTACGAGCGTATTTCTAATTTTGAAATTACCTGTACATTATACTCTCCACCATTCTTTTCACGTACGTATCATTAATTCATATTAAAATAATACCGACCACAATATATAGTTTAATTACTCCGTAAATGCATTCTATACATGTAATGTATGTAATGCATGTATTGAAAATGACAAAAAATATTAATTAATTTTTCTCTTAAAATTTAAATTTTTCAAAATAATTTATACTGTTTAATTTTTACATTATGAATAAAATTAAATAATAATTTTTTATATTAGGTATCTACGTAAGAAAATGAATACCGTAAAATACGACATGTTATCATGAATAGTTAGATATAATAAAAATAACAATAATAATTTTTCTAGTTACGTGAATATGCCAATATGTTTTTTTTGGTAACAATATTCGACTTATTAGACACAGCACATTACAGTATAAATTTTGTTCTCTACTGCGCAACGGGACAAACTTTTCGCAGAGAACTAATCCGTATGTTTACGAAACGTACAAATAAGAAAGAACAAAAATATTATGGGGATGTATAATTAGAAGAAACAGTATGATTAATGCCCAATTATGCAGTCATAATAAGGTAATACCATAATTAAAGGCGGCGTTCTATACTGTAAAAAAATCGATAAATTTACAAAACTGGATGTAAAAATTACATAATAAATAAATTTAGTAAATATATATTGCAAATTTACATAATTTTATAAATTTTATACTATTTACTTAATACATTCCCAGGGAGAAACGTAAAGTCGAATAGATGTCTAGTTGACGTCTATTCGATAGATCTAAAATAAGTTGATTTTTGCATCTCGGTAGACGTCGAAATGGTTTCTATTAGACACATCTATTAGACGTCTTGTAGATGTCTTATAAATGTTGATTAGACGCCTTATATAAAGCTTATATAAAGCTCGTATCAAACCATGCATTAACAATTAAAATTGAAATTTGACTAAACAGAACAAAGAAATTTTAGTTTTCTGTCCTGATTAATTAAATTCCAATCTTCAATCTTTAATACGTAGTCTGATATGGGCTTAACCCAACGGATTGTTAATATATATTAATGAACTGTCAAAATTATAGCCTCGTGTAATGTAATGTCAGATTTATTTATATGTAGTACATAAGTACATTGTTTTATTATAATATGCAATATTGTTTTAAGGATCACTGAAACATATACTGAGAAAAAATACAGCATTGTAGGATGCTTGCGCATTTATATCTTTAATATCATTTGACGCATACACTACAATGCTGTATTTTTTCTTAGTATATGTTTCACTGAGCCTTAAAACAATACTGCATAATATACATTTAACACAGTACATAATTGTAATATATATAATATAATAATATTTATAAGATTTCTAAAGTAGGTACTTATATTACTACAGTAGAATATATTATACGATACATTTCTACATTATTCAAATTTCTTTGCGAATACATACACAATATTTAATTATATTTATTATAAAATTTGTTAAGTTCAATTTTACTAATACTCTAAGATAAAAAATAATCTAATATTTTCTAGATCTAAAATTTTAATAAGACAAAGTTGACAAAATCTTTAAAGAAGTATAATCTAAAAATTGAGTTTATACATTATTAGAAGTAAAACAAACAAAAAGTTTGTTATTGTTGCGTTGCTATTTTGTACACTTGTATACAATTCGCACTTAAAATGAGAAGAACGTTATATTCAGGCGTTGGAGAGAAAAAAGAACTAAAGAGTGTACAATGCGATGCAACGCGAACTTTTGCAAATGCGAACTAACCTAAAAGCGTAATATTTTACTTTAAAGTACACAAAGATATTAAATCACAAGATAAAGCACAATCAATTTTTTCTTGGGAAAAAAATCGTGCACTTACCGGTTTCTTTTCATTATCCATTTTTCAATGTTTTATAGCAGCACACACGAGACACAAGACAGCACAGCACGTGAACACGTGAATAGGTTACGGCATTCGCGCGGCAATACTTGTTGAGCCTGAGCGGTATGAAAGGCAACGTAACCAATCATATAAATGATCGATATTGATTGGTCAATATAGCACCCGCAAAAATCAAAATTACTAAAACAATTTTTTCGTAAAATATTATATATATATATATAATATAATATTAAAGAACACTTTATAATCGATTATAATTATACAGGGTGAGTCATTTTAATCTATGGATCCGAATATCTTCCAAATTACGGTATCTACAAAAAAAATGGTTTAGATAAAAGTTGACCAGGACAGAGGGGGTTATTTAATTGTATATGCTGCTGACAGCCTCGGGTAAAAGAGGACAGACATAATGCTATCTCTTTCTTTTTGCAGGTACAGCTATCGACCATATATGTAGACATCATTATTAATTTTATAATCTCCAAAATCATGACAGACAGAAATTGATTCGCGCAAATACAAAGTAAATATTAATATTAGAAAATACATTTTATGAAATTATTTTTTTAACCACAAAATTTTTGTGTGTTTATCCTGATGAGGCTATATTGCATTAATATATTTACTTATTGTTAGAAGTCTATTAGACATCTATTAGATGCCGAAAGATAATTTGTAATCTAAACAGTGTTTGATAAACAATACATCGCTATTGTGTAAATATTAAGTTTTAATTTTGTATAAGGAAATAAATGACACAAAATTACATGGCATCTAATTTAGATATTTCTAGACATTATTTTAGACTAGATGGCTCCGACATCTAATAGACGTATATCCGATCTTGTGTTTCTCCCTGGGTTATTTGTCATGTAATTTTTACATCTTTATTGTGTAAATTTACCGAATTTGTTGACAATGTGCACACTTATATTACATTATATTACATTAATCAAAAGTTCTTTTACCATTTTTGTTATATGACTTTTATAATTAAATGTATAAAAGCAAAAATTAATCCATTTTTTGTCAATTTGAGAATACTTTGCATTTTGTTACAGCTTGCAAGTTTACGTCCAATCGCACTTCAAACAAAACAATGTATTTGGTAACAACACACAACTGAAAGTGTCTCACGAGAAGCTAACACTCCTAATGTACACGAGAGATTATAATATACATTTAACTTTATAAAAATATAATTAATTAAATAGCTAAATAAGATAATTACCATGCAGATATATGTAGGTAGTTTGTACAATATTTTGGCGTACCATAAAAAAATGGATTGTTTTATCAATTTTCTTAATGAATGTGAGCTTATATAACTTAGAAGAAGTGTTGATTTATTATTTGAAATAGGAAAATTATCACATCATAGATTTTAATACCAAGACAATTTGTTATCATCAAAATTACATAAATGACATCTATTCATTACAAGAATATTTTCTAAAAAGAAAAGAACGTATTAGAAACGAATGGCGTACTATTTACACGTCATTATGTCACAAATATTTATACCAATTAGAGTATTCATGTACAAGTACATATCTGATAATTTTACTTACTACTCATTGCTCATTTGCTGCAACAGTGACATAACTGAAAAATCACGATTTTCCAGAAAACGAGTTTAAATGTTTTCAATCGTACATAATAAATAATTTGATAAGAACATTATTTGTCATATTGGTATAATAACATATTATAGTGTAGGATAACAGTAATATAATATTATCCTAGTAAAGTACAGATCCCAGTACAAGTAAGGACCGTTCTTTTTATACCTTCCTATACCTGTTATTCAACAACGGCATTTTAAATTATGTTTTTGTTACAGCAAATGAGCGACACATGTATGTACATTATTTCTCATATACAGGCAAACATTTGCCTGTTATTATTCAAATGAATTACCCTGTATATATACATATAATAAACGCTTTTAAATGTGTTTTGTAATTTTTATTTTCTATATATACATATTGCATCCCGTTATGTTGTAAAAGTAATTAATTATTAATATTTCTCCCCCCCATTGAGAAAAAAAGACGAGGAGATACGAGTTTTCGTAACCTTGAGATTCCGTTTTTTTTTTTTATTTTAAAATGGACTTCGCTCTTTTCATAGTTTTACACTTAATATAATCGCAAGTATTATGGCAATTACAACAGCTATACTACTTGTTGTCATAGGATAAACAAATGTTTGTTCTGTGAATGGATTTTTTAGATTGTTGTTAACATCTTTATTTATTTTCTCAAGTTTATTCTTGAGGTCCATTAATTCTTTTGGATCTTGTATGATCTTCTTGAATTTTAGTCCTTGTAATGGACTTTTCTTATTTTGTATATTCTGGTCTTTACTAAATTTTAAATTGAAACTTGGTAAATAAGTTTGTATATTCGCGGTTTGCTCAAATTTTTTCGTTTTTATTGTCATATCTGTTGCAATCACCTTACAGTTTTCTTTTAAAGTTATTTTCCCTGTTTGCTTAATTATTACATCAGTTTCTTTATTGTTTTTACAATGTATATATATTTGTTGTTCCTTAAGTGTAGAGTACAGCCACGTGTTTGGCGTTCTTAATGCTATCCATAATGTTTGATTACTCTTAATGTAACGCTTATCACAATTATGTATTATTTTTTGTTATGTGTGAGTACGTTTGTATTTCGCAAAGAGAATTCGTGTTTATAATATAAATAGGACTATAAGGTTTGCATAAATATGTATTGTGTATATTGATACATTTATCTAAGATTTCCTTTCTTATGGTCATATATGTCTGTCCGTCTGTACTTATCGCGATTATATGTTGATTTACTTCAGTGAAAACAAAAATATTGTCATGGTCATGTACTGGTAAAGGAATTACTTTTATTATTTTATATTTGGGAAATGTTATTAAAGGGAAACGTAGTATGGTATAAATATTTGTATTATCATACAAATGATTCTTATGTACAAGTGATTCTTATGAAATAATTATGAGGTATAGGCTTATTAATTATTAAATTATTAAATATTATAACATAATTATTATAATTATTAAATATTACGTCAGAAAATGTGTAATACAAATAATTTCGATAAAGTTTATATATTTTTATTTAACATAGCATATTGATATATAAGTAGTATATAATACATAACAAGGCTAAACAAAGTACAGATTATTGGATTTTATTCTATCATCGTGTTGCGATGTTTTTGGCACGTACCATCTCAATACTTTACATTCTTAAATAACTATTATACTCTATTATACTGGAGGACGAATTAATCAAGGTGAGAACCGAAACGATATCCCCAGTCAAGATAGAATACTTCTCACAAGAACCAGGACTATATTACGAACAGATAGAAGAATTATACCTCATTGAAACAAACTGGAAAGTAGTAATAAAACTAGATAGTACAGCAATAAATATTAGATTCAAACGTATAAAAGAAAATACACAAGATACGAATGTAATTTGCAACGAAATTAATAATAAAACTACAGAACAACCATGCCGAAACATAAATTTGATAATAGAAAAGAATATTAACCAATTAACAGAATCCATAAAACAAATAAATAACATCTATAAAAAACCTTCCGACAAACGACGCGAATTAATTGATGGCATAGGAAGTATCGCAAAAATTCTATTTGGAACCATGGACGCAGATGACGAAAAATACATTAACGAACAATTACTTTTGATAAAGAATAACGAGCAGATAACACAACACGCCGTGAAAACACAAATAAAAATATTAAACGCAACGCTTACACACATAAATAAACTAGAAGATACATTAGAACACAATCACGAATTATTAAAGAACGCTACAAAATATATTTACAATCAAATCGCAGATAAAATTAAACGAGAAGACACAACGAAACACTTCCTAATAATAAATACAATTTTAGCTGATCTCCAACAAGATGTTCAAGATATTATTGACTTTTTAATACATATACAAAACGGAATATTAAATCAAAAAATAACACCAGTAGAAAAAATAATTTTTGAATTAAAAGAAGCAACACCTCATTTGCCACAAGGAACACAATTTCCCTTTGGACTTAAAATAGAAGAATGGAACATTATCAGAAAATTAATTACCGCAAGCGCGTACTATGATAATACAAATATTTATATCATACTACGTTTCCCTTTAATAACATTCTCCAAATATAAAATAATAAAAGTGATTCCTTTACCAGTACATAACAATACTTTTGTTTTCACTGAAGTAAATCAACATATAATCACGATAAGTACAGACAGACAGACATATATGACCATGACAAAGGAAAATTTAGATAAATGTATCAATATACACAATACGTATTTATGCGAACCTTATAGTCCTATTTATATTATAAACACGAATTCTCTTTGCAAAATACAAGCGTACTCACACATAACAAAAAATGTTTTAAAAAAAAAACATTGAATGTTTACTCATCCCTACAATTCAAATACTCTGAAAATGTAAGCGGTGACAAAAAAAAGAAACAATCTAGCTTTTAACATGTGAACTAAATTGTATTCGTGCTAAAGTGGTGATCTTGGATATTAATAGTGAAATTAAAGAAAAGATATATGTGATAAAAAATGTATTTATATTATATACCTAAAAAAAAGTAAATTCACGTAATCGCATTAATCGATATTGCATAATTGATAATCCAATATTTGCAAAACAGAAAATGTCATTTTGTTTGTTTGCAACGTTGCTATGCAATGAGAAAGGAGCTCGACTTTATTAATGAATGACATATATTGAGTTTGAAGAAAGTGGTAAATTATTACGATATTATTATATTTATTGAATTGACTTTTACTTGGGTTAAGTGTATAAATAATAATAATGTGTTGTGGAGATTCGTAATGCGCGCGGATTAGTCTAATATATATATGTAATTGAGAAGCCGCAGCTATCATTAACGCTACTAGACGGCGCGTCATGTAGCACCGTCGGGAGCAGCACACGTGTTCGTTAACGCACGGATTACTCTGTATCTTACCGTCACCGAGAAAATACATAGTCTTATATCCTACAACGGTCTACAATTATTACAAGCCTGAGAATAACCCACACAAGTGCAACACAATATATTATAACAACGTCGTAAGGTTAGTAAAATTCTTTCTATTATTTTATCATATTAAATTTAGAATATTCTGCAAAATTTAATTAGTGAATATTTTATGCGAACACTATCATTATTTATTTCCAGATGGAATATTTATATAAATTAGTCGTTTTCTTGTGTGGATAGCAAATCATCAATATTGAGTATTGATATTGTGCCATCATCGTGAATTTCTTGGGACGAGGCGCGAAATTCTCTTGTTTGCAAATTTATGTGGCCTCCTCCACGGCCGTCAAAAGAATGAAATTGCAAAATTTAATTAAAACAGGCGAACCTCCAATTGATACATGGCCAACATTTCGCGTGGAAACACGAGGCAGAGCAAGTAATGCAATTTACAACTTAATTAAATATTTCCAGTATGCAAATATTAAAATTATAATTATTGTCACAGAAACGTATTTGGAAACTGGAACCCGTCTTGAATGACTAAAAAAGCAAGAATATACATTTACTGAAGAAAGTGAAGTTGATGGTCGATCAAAATCTCTTGTGGATATTAAAAGTTATAAAATAAAACGTAAAGAAAATACATCTTTAAGAAAAGAATTAAATTTAACTTCCCAAAATTTTAACAAAAAAAAAAAAACAAAAAAAGAAACAAAGAAAAAACCAAGAAAAAAAGAAAATTATATCATAAAATTACACGTAAGTCTGTTATACATTATACTGTCTTATACATTTATTGCTTTAGGAATATATAAAAACTATGACATTGTTATAATTACCAAATTTAGAAAATCTATTTTCTATTATTTATCTGTTCGTAGCTTCATCAGAAGATTCACAGGATTCAATCGAATCGGAATCAGAAATAGCCAGTCCAGCGGAAAAAATACTAAAATTGAATCCAAAAAAATCGAAAAACTGTTCTAACCAAAGAACCTAGTTTGCTACAAAAACCACAGAATATAACACGTATGACTTTCCTTTCTGTATTTCTTACAATTTTCTATTCAATTTTTTTCACAAAATGATTGCTTAAGATTGTTTAATAATTGCTCAATTTTATCTATATAAACAGCTTTTTTTGAAGAATAAACTATTTCTTATCCAACGATGAGTGATCAGCCTTCTATCTCTACTGCAAGTTATACGTCATCAAATCTCGAATCGTCTCAAGTTTCAAAAAAGCAGACGTCAAAGTCTTCATCTGTCACTGATATGGACATTGAAAATGAAGGTGAAATAAATATATTTCTTAAATAATATTAATAATCTCAATTAATAAATAATATAATTGTCATTTATTTTATTTTTATACTGTAGACTGTGTCCTCAGTCTCGTAAAAAAAGTATATCGCAGCTTAAAAGCAAAAATAAACATCATTCAAAAGCAGTTAATTCAACAAAAAAAATGAAATAAATCAAATTCAAAAATATTTGAACACTGGTTCATCGGCACTATTGTTTGAAGCAGAAGAACTTGAAACAGATAATGGTTTTTTGTTGCCGTGTTCCACGTATGAAATGTTTAACAATTTGGAGGAGAAATTAAAAAATAATAAAGATTTCGGCAAAAAATAGTGAGTATTAAACTTAAAAGATATCATATTGTTAAGATTTTGCTTACTAATTACTAAAACTCTAATAGTTTTATTCATTTATTAAACATAAAGATATCATATATAATATAATCTGATCTATTATTTTTTAGAAATTTGATTTACTTCGGTCGGTGGATTGCAAAAAGTCGATGACTCGAAATATTGGAGAAATAATCCAAAAATTTTTGTGTCAAGAGGTAGCTAAAGGCTTTACTATTGTAAAATTAGTACCAAAAAAAAAAGTATTTAAAAATACAACCTTATATAGTTGTATCGAAGGTATGTTTTCTTCATGCTTCTTTTTTTCAATACTGTTTTAAATACTGTTTTAATGCTGTTTTAATATTTTTGTCATATTTCAGATATTATCTCGCATTCTTTTAAAAAAGATAATGTGCTACCATCTAAAAAAGAAATACAAGACTCAGTACAAGTCATATTTAATAATGTGAAGGATTGGAACGGTGCGCGCCAAAAACGTCACAACATGACAGAATAAAATTTAATAATCCTTTGTTTACTTTGTTTAATTGTTGTGTTTTTTTTCTATTTATAAAATATTATAAATGTTTATGCTATTACTATATATTATGCTATGTATCAAATATTATGTTAAATGAAAATATATAAACTTTATTGAAATTATTTGTATTACATTTTATGGCGTAATAATTATTAATAATCCTCATAATCACCCGATAAGGATCCTGATTAAATAAAAGTAAGGTTGTAATAGGGCAGCTCGATCGGTTTCCGACAGGGGCATTGCGTTACCAAACATCTCAGGTTCCGATCGGATATACTCATCAAGACCCGATCACTAACAAGGGAACGTTCACAAGTGTCCCCCCCCCCCGATTTGATTCTCCTTGAAATATGTTGTAAAACATACAATTTGAGGAGACACGTATTTTTTTACAGCGGCCCTATCTCAAATTTAAGGGGTGAAACACCCTTTTGAAAAAAAACGGTTTTTTTCTTTGTGTGTAACTATCGCCAAAACCGTAGGAGATATAAAAAAATGTTTTAAATAGAAGTTGTAGGGCTTGTAATGGGCTATATAACTGTGTAGTTGGATTTTCAGAAAATGTTATTTTTTTTTTAATTTACCCCCACCTCTTGTTATTTTTTCAAATTTCAAAATTTTTGTAATGACAAAAGTTGTAGCATTTTTTACGCTGAATTCAACCATATATGATTTTATTATGTTCCAAAATCGCATCTTTCAAAAATGAGTCATCGAGTATCACATTATATGTGTCGCGCTGCATGACGCATCGTTTATACCGCACTTGTGTTGTGCAATAGTCGCAAAATAAATATAAAAATGACATACAATATGTTATCACATATTTGAGGAAGAAAAGTTTACTAAAATTGTTATTAAAGCTATATATATTAAATTTAGTCACACCCGTTATAGATGTTACAATAATGATACTCTATAAAAAATGTTTTAAACATAATGATTTTCCGCACCAAGAACATTGTATTACAGCTATATCATTGCAATCTTCAATGTCACATGTGCTTGATGTTTGTTCAAAACTAAATTCTACTGGATTTTTAAATGTTTCTGGTCTTTCATTCGTATATCTACTTTTAAACCATGAATATTTAAATAAATTTTGATATCGAGAAAATGATAACTGATTGTGTATTAAAAGATTGCAATTTTATAATATTATTTCGCTGATGTAAATTTATATCATAATTCAATAATAGAACAGTATCCGAAAATCTATTAGTCCTGTCTGCACAGCTACATTAAATTTATCATAAGTAGCTTTGGAAATATGAGATAATTTTTCAAGACGATTTCCACCGTGCTCTAACTGTTCTTCCCATCGCCTCAATTGACGTACAGATGAAATTCTTTTAAATGTGTGTTGTACTGACTTGAAAGAACGATTTTCTTTGTCCGACTGCCGCCAATATTCAACA